GGCGGGAACTTTTTTCTAAACTGTAATTTTCCACTACTGTAGCATTTGGTTACTGGGTTCAGGCATAGCGGAATTTTCCTCCATGACCTAGTTACTGCCACCAGAACGATTGACAGCAAAACTATGCCATATGTATCGAACCCACGGAATTTTCCTCTGTGCTATGTCATTTCTCCTCTGGGCTATACCAATTCTCCTCTGGGCTATAGGCATCCAATTAATGGGTTCTGACACCTGCAACTGGAAGGTAATGCACACACTATGTGGTTTGAGAGTCGGGGTTAGTACAGGTAAGCATTTGACACAGACCCACAAAATCAAGAAAGTTAAGTCATCTAACATGGCATACCTTTAACTCCTCCCCCAAAAGACCCCACTAGCACCCACTCCCCTTCCAGAACCCTCCCCTTCCAGCACCCACTAATTCAGAGAGCTTGATTTTGTAGCATCGATACAGGAGGGGACAGCTGGCTCTGGATGGAGGCATGGAGTTGGTGCATGGGATGGCTAAGAGGCCATCCCATGCACCCTTCCGGATCAGAGTTAAGCTCGTTGCGAGCTGGCTGTATTTTGTGGCGGATAGTCTGACAATGAGCTGTGTGTTTCTGCATGGCAGAGTGCAGACTGCATCATGTAAGATGTTAACTTTTACGTGTCTGCTTTTGTGATAGGTACATGAGGCACAACAGCCGTAACTTGAACTCAGACCAGTGGTTTCATGATGATACAGCTGGGGCAGCACATTCAGATCTTTATGAATGGCAGGTTCTGGAAAAATTCTAAATTCCTAGCAATAAAGTGCTCTATCTGAGTACTCTGCTGCTCTATTATAGCCTTTTCTCTTTTGAAGTCAACATTATCCCTTTTCCAGATCCATCACTCTTATTAGAGGAAGCTGGGATTTGATTGTACCGACCTTACCTACTAGGTTGTTAACGGCTGGCAGCTTTAATACCAAGGATTGAAGTTGCTCTGTTTTAACTCCAAAAAGTTTCTGTTGCTGCAGCCGGTTAGATTAGTTTATGCTTGGAAAAGGTGTGAGTGAATCGATTGCATCCTCTAGCCATGCCCTGACCACTGTAAAGAGGGAGAGAGTTTAAAATCAAACCACTTTCCAATCAGATCTCAGTTCATTTAGTGATACTCTGTCACCACAGATTGTTGCATTGAGGCAAGCGAATGGTCTAGCTCAAGCACAGGTCCTTGGAGATCGAAGGATATTTGCTTTTTGTTCCTCTGTGTCACACAGTCCTGCAAAGCTGCTGTATTACATACTAAGTGTTCTTGCTCCTTTCTCGAAGGGTTAATTTGGTTGTGTCAAGTGCAGAGTTTTAATGACTCAGATCTAGGGAAGTGTTTCTTTAAGAGGCGATTTAATTTGGGGATATTTTGCCTTTCCTGTTCCATTCAGAAAAAGAGAGATACTTTTTCCCAAATGGGAAGAATCAGAGTACCTGTTTTCTGAGCTGGTGTCATCCATTGATCACTAACTTTTTCACCTTTCATCTTTTCAGAGTGACATGTTGGATGTCAACCAGATCATTAAAGACCTGGCCTCCATGGTCTATGAGCAAGGAGACACAATAGGTAGGTATTGCCATTACTCTCAAGGTATGTTCTTTATGATCACATTTAGCCATTTAGATTTGAGGTTATAACTTGGCTATTTAGGAGTGTAAAGGACCCAAATGATTCTAGCGCTGGGGCTGCTTAAGGCAGCTTAGTTGTCACACAGACTATTTGTCTCATACCATGGCAGGGATTGTATAGAGGTCCCCTGTGGTTTTAAAAGCTGCCCATGGTGTGGTGGTCACATGCCTGGGATAGTATACTATTGTGGTGAGTATCAAAAATAGATTTTGTGAGAGAAACAATCTTTTGCCTGTCAGAAGTGACAGAAATGTAGGAGAAATAGTCTTAATTAGAATGGGAATAACTCCTTTCTTTCGGTCTGGAATTGAAATGCAAGACTACCGTAGGAAAGCATGTAGCTTGATTCTGCCACATGGAAAATCCTTTCTCCCGTTCTTTTATTTCTTGGTTAAAATTGAAGTATCATAGCAGTGTGATAAGTTAGCAGGTATGCCCTCCAAAGTGGTTCAAAACTTGGCCCCTCCATGCTGTCTAGCCCACAGCAGCTGGGAACAGCGAACGGTGCATGCTGGTGCAGTGCTAGAAGATGCAGAGAGTGAGGAAATTCCCAGTATTGCTCCCCAACGTCCACCTCTCAGACTCGGGAGAGGAAGAAAAAAAAATGTCAGGAAAACACAGGAGATCCACTCCTCGTAAAAGCTCTCTTGCCCTTATCTCCTTTGCCACCATCTCCTGTTACAGCAAAGAGAAGGAAGGATCGGATATTTTTTCTCTCCCTCTTGTTTTAAAGCGTGAAAAATATCAAATGAATTATTCAGTGCTTTAAAAAACTATTACCAGGATTTTCCAACCCATGTGCCTAAACATAAACTCTTTGATCCAACATAAACTCTTTAGAAAAGCAGGCCAGTTGGCAAAGTCGGTGTGTGTTGCATTAGGTCCTAAATGAGGCACACAAACGCCACAGTCTTCGTCTTGCACTTAATCATACAGTGGGTGCGCCTACAAGTTCATTACTGTGGCCCCAGTATTAACTGACCTGGGACAAAAGAGGATAGTTGTGTCTATACCAATATCATGCTTTCACTGATTTTATGGGTTCCCCTCCCCGACCCCAGCAGTATTGTTAACCTTCCTTATTTTTTTCAGAGTAGTTTTTCAGTCATTCGGGCAATCAAGGTATCTCCCCAAGCTCACACTGTTCATCTTTTGTGATTTATGTTGCACACAAGTGAGGGAGACTTAACAATCAGAAGGTAAAGGGGGCTGAAACGCTCTCAATAAAAATTCACCTTCTACGGTGAGAAAATGTTTTGCAATGCCCATTTTTAATTTACTCCCATTACACACATACAATGAAAGCTCGCAGTGTCCACACTCGTTAAAAACAAATCAGAACAAAATTAAACCGACCAACAAAAAAATTTGGATGGGAAATCTGTCTCTCACCGGCCAGCAGAACGTACTGCTCTGGCCAGATTATGAGCTCAGGTCACCCCCTTGCTGTCTGCCTATGCAAGCTTGGTAGAAACAATGAAAAGGTAGGATTAAACTTACTCTGAGGAGAAAGGAATAACCCACAGGTTTGAAGGAACACCTTAATCAGCATAGTTGCCAAGTTGGTCTGCTCTAAACTAATATACCCATAGCACCTATTAAACATAGCAAAACTTGCTGTAGGACTCAGGAAGGTTGAATGAACGAAGGAGAAGAAACATGAAGTTGCTGAGAAGGCATCTGCCATATATGTGTCTTCCACAAATTTATCACTGTCCCTAGGAACCACAATCGGTGCTCCCAGTCATAGTATTCTCATTTATGCTTCTTGTTAGGTGAGCATGGATCTGAGGGTAATGAGAGCAATGGTCCTGATTCAGTAAAAACTAAATAGTTGTATCAGTAACGCAGATTATCTCTGCATCAGGCACAGTGTATCAGGCTATAGCAGTGACGACCCCAGACAGCTTCTAAGGAAGAGAGCTTTTTGATCATCTTCTCCACCCGCTTCCTCACTGCAAGATATGTTCCACAAATCCCTGCCGTATTGCCTATGAATACCCTGTCTTAGTCTGGCGTTCTTATCGCTGGTGGTAATATGTCTTTGATCACCCTGAGCAGGTTGCTCCATCATGTAATCAATACAAGCTATGTTGATGAAAACGAGATTATGCCATGTCGGTACTGTAATTATGCGGACAGCAGCGAATCTTTCCCCACCTCTCACCACCTTGCGTTACATGGAATCGCATCTCAGATGTATCACTTAGAAACACCGGCAGTCTTGGAAAGCCGTGTCTCCATGGAGGGAGGGAAAGTGCATTACTTACAGAATCCCAACGCGGGGATGGGAAGCCCCACTTAAAAACACCCCACACAACCCCAAAACATGACACAACGCCTATGTGCAATCCCCTTATGGGATTTATATGCCCTCTTCCTCAAGAGCATATAAATACCCAGGATTTGGTGCCTTTCTAGGAACCAGCCTCAACATGTTGACATGCAAGAGAAGTGTCACCCCCGAGTCTGCAACTGCTGCCCAGTTGACTGCTTCTGACCCTGCTGCTCTGCATTGTCACCCTCCACTGCCGGAGCTCTGCATCGCAGGCCGCACTCCCGTACTAAAACCGGGAAGCCCAATTTTAGCCAACAGGAGACCAAAGTGCTGGTGCAAAAAGTCACCAAGCATTACCCATTCCTATTTGGAGATTTGAGGGGGACCCCAGCTAAAAAGCACAGAGCGTGGAATAACATCCTACAAGCTGTTAGTATATTGGGGTACTGCTGCCGGGACTTGGGGGATCAGAAACACAAATGGCAAGACCTCCGTAGGGTAGTAAGGAAAAAACTTGGAGAACACCAGAGAGCCATGGCTGGAGGAAGGCCACCCCAGTCCCTGGTTCTCACCCTAGTGGAGAGACTGGTGGCAGAAACCTTCTCCCCATGCACCACCCAAGTAGACAGCCAAGGTGTTGACACCTTGAGAAGCAAGCTACACGGGGTTCATTGAGAGAGCACATACACAGACACACACAGGCATGCACACATTCAACCATGCAACTGCACCCACCAACTTACAACCTACCCTATCAAAGGGTATGCTTTCTGGTAGATGGGCTGGATTATTTTTCATACCTTCTGGTGTAAAGCAGGAATGACTCTATGCAGTCAATGTGAAATGCGGATTAGTGAGAGGAGAATCTGGGTTTACGTCTGTAGATGGTTCAAAGGAAATGTTAGATTCCAATAGTGTTCCTAGCATGTGGCTAGTCCCAACACATTTGCCTGTCTCTATGATCTTCTTTGCTTCACACAACAGGGAATGAAGGTGATTGACATAAGGTACAAGTTGTACGTTATGTTTAACCTATACCAGAAATACAAAAATGTTGCCATTTTCTTGGCTGTTAGGCAGAAAGAGATGCTGTCCTCTCCCACATGCACATATAGTGTCTCTGGGGTGTCAGTACAATGTAACCCCCAGGTTCCTTATCTAAGCGCACCCTACTTCAACCACAGTTCATTTACTGGGCCTGCAGCTTCATCACGCTTCTCCCAACAGGTAACGAGGGTGGCAAACTTCTTCAAAAGTGTATTCCCCCATTTTTCCTGTCGGGCCATTTTACCACCAACACTGCTCAAATAAAGCATCTACACCTTCTCTACCACCACTTCCCTCAAAACAGCAAGTGGTCCAAAGACTGGCCAGTCCATGCCTTCAGCCCAAGTTGACAGCAGCGGAGGCACAAGAACACATTCAGGATTTTCTTTGCCAAATCCACCGTCTCTTTGTTAAATCCAAAGTAGTCCAGATCACAACTCGTGCTAAAAGACCTGCTTTCAGGGAAGGTAAATTCCACCACAAAGAAGAGAATTTTCTCCATCTCAGGTTTTCTTCCATTGTTATGGTCACATTTGGTGCCCAGCCACCTTCTGTGAATGCTCAGTCAGAGTTGTCAAGTTTTTAGGCCTTGATTGATCTTGGCATTGAATGGCACTAACTCATGAAATGTGGATCTCATAGACAAGAAAAGAATAAGGCCAGGAACAAAGAAACTGCAGGACACAGGAGACACATGGCCATTGGTTCAATGTCTTGATACACTGAGAGACGGGGAATTTTCCAATAAAGACAATAAATTCAGTCCCACAGTTGAACTGATACTGCTTTGTATGCAACATTGCCATTTCCACCTCCTATTAATAAAATACTTGCTCAAAGGAAAATGTATTCCTATTTATGTAAGCATGTGATGATTTGTTTGGGGGATTTGAAGGTCCACCCTTCTCTGCTACCAGACTAGCTTTGTCGGCTCCCTGCATTCAGCCCTACTTCATTCCCTTTGTTTTTGATATATCCCGGCTTGCTTTTTGGCTTGAAGGCTGATTTAACACATAGCATGCTCTGAAAACTTTTACATATCAGCCTGGGATCCACCACAAAGAGCCATCACTCATGTGCCCTCTGCAAGAAAGGTCCATTTAGGAGATTCTTCATGCGTGTTCCATGACTGACTGCCTTAATGGCACAGTGGTTTCTTTGTTATGAAGAGTCCCTTGGAGAATTGGAAGGAGTCTGTTCTCTCAAATACAATAAAATACAAACCTGCAAAATCATACAGCTGGATCTTTAGGTAAACTCTCCTGTGTAAAGTGGCTCAGTTGGAACAACTGGGAAAAGTGAATTCACCCTGGGAATGGTCCCCGACTAGCACAGTTATGACAATATTTCCAACAGATTCTTGCCTAATATGGTCACTCAAATGGTAGTCTTCTCTAAAAGCTATCAAAGGAGATGTTATATCAAGGATACAATTATATGCTTACTTCTTTGTGCATGGTTTGTTCAAACAAATGCCTCACATCTTGAAGGCATAACCTAGAATCTGTTGCACTAAAAGTGCATATTTTGGACCCAGTTTGCTGGGCACTCCTCTCAACATGCTTATGACTTGCAAATCTTTATTGTAAAAAGGCCCATGCATCAAAATGAC